ACACGAATGAGTCATGTCAAACCTAGAACCCACGGCAGATCATATCGCGAGCATAGCTGCAGTCATAGACTTAAGACAAACACAAGCGAGATATTGGGTGGGTTGACGTTGGAATACTAGGCCGGCGCAGACTTCGCGCAGACAGAAGCTGGACGCGGTGAAGGAAAAGATAGCAGGTCGGCGAAAAGCGGCCGGTCTATGTAAGCGCTGGTGTCCAGTTCGGTAACATCTCTTGAGTAATAGTAAGACAGCAAAGTTCAAGCGAATGTAGATGCAAAGGCAATGATTGAGACGACATGATTGCATGTGCGCTTCACTAACGGCATGTTTTCTAAGTGACCTGGTTTTCAGGATGGCGGGATTGAACAGTCATGGACATTGGACGTCGGACGCCAACGCCAACGGCTGCACGTCACGACTCACGAACGGGTGGGCCGTATAAATTTCTATGCAAGCAAAGTGGTGATGCGTCCCAAGCGGTAGTATAATTAGAAGCAAGCAGACATAAGTGTCAAGGCTAGCGTTCGGTCGGTAGTAACACGCCAGGCCGACGAGGAGCAGGTTGGGAGTTGCGCAGAAACGGCCATCGACGACTCCGGAGAGACGGAACTGATATCACGTGCGCGTTGTTGATGCTTAAAGAATGATTCGGCCCGGCTAGTACCTCTTTTACGACGCGCGACGTACATACCGCGCAGCGACCTCGACAAATGATTTCGAAGTGAGTTTTTTACTAAGCCAGATCCACAGCTCTTATTTTATTTTCCTTCCACTCTAGAAACGATTCGGATGACAGAATGAGGTGAGCCACTCACTTGACACCGACTTTCCTATAGGCCTACTAGTAGTTGATCTTACCTGACCGAACACGAACTTCAGACCACAGGACGACCTTACTACGAAACCTGCTCTCCCTCTCACCACTCCAGCCGCCGGTGGCCCGCCGAGTCCCTGGGATGCTACAGAACCTACGGAAATAAAACTGCGCCCGGCAATGCGCCTCATAGGGGAACCCCAAACAAACGGCAGGCCTACTCCTCTCAGAGTCTGCGGATATGTCTTCCGTGTATCTGATGTTCTGCATTGGATGGACTCGAGAAACATGTTTCCCGAATTAAAGGGATCTCCAGCGGCCCGCGCGGACAGGGGCTGGAGCTACGTTGTTAACACTTTAGGTCCACGCGGGATATCATGCTGGCCGGTCCGCACACACTTTCTCGACGAACATGGAAACCGGACGAAGTGGAAATGCACCTCAAACTCCCTGATACTTGGTTCGAACGAGACAAAGAAAGAAAGGCTGGCGACGAGGAATATGAAGAAGATTGAGTTGATCCACAGAGTTCTCGGTATTCCTATGGGAGCGCTTGGAGCGCCAGAGTGGCTTATACCTGTGGAGTAGATGAATTGTCGGTCACCGACAACTGTAATTTTTATCATCATCGCGTAGTTACATTTGAATCCCTTCTCGTCCATTATCAACGCCATGCAGAAGCACGTTTTCGACGTAAATTCTGTATCATTGTTATGCCAGTAGCTATCAGAGGCTCTACTTTTATTCTACACGACGAAGCTTTTGAGCTGTAGACGCGCGGAATATCAAACGTTTGAAAGTTTCTGCCGTTTCCGACGGCGATTCAGGATGGTGGTTTGGGGGAGAACTATCTCCACGCCGCTTGTCTCTGCTATTTGGTATGCTGGAACGCCATAGAATACCACCTGAAGATGTGACTCAACCCCGCGCTCCGAGACCATCGTTTCAGACAGCCAGACGGCAGGGTCCCGAGGACGACAAGAGTTGACATAACTATGTATAATGTGGCTATGGCAGAATGCCACCCAATTGCCACCGTATAAATTTCAGGTTCGAACCTCGAACTTCGGAGGGTAATAGACTACCAGGCAGTCACTTTAACCATGGACTCAAAGTACGTCTTCGTATAACCTCAGACCGGTACAGTGCTTACAGCTTCCTTTGGTAGCAACGATACGGATGACATCATGAGGTGAGCCACTCACTGGTAAAATTTGTATAAACTCTGTTATCTTGACCGAATACGAGCAGACCACAGGACGACCTGGCCTCGGAACACGCTTCCTTTAACACAATGGCACCAGCCGCTGTTGATATACCGAGTTTCTGGAGCGCCACGGAGCCCACCGAAATACAGCTACGCTCAGCAATGCGCCTTGTAGGGGAACCCCAAGAAAGAAACGGCAGACCTACTCCGCTCAGATTATGTGGATATCTTCCGCCGAAACTTCTACTTGAACTCAAGGGTTCTCCAATGAATCGCGCGGACAAGGGCTGGGGCTACATTGTCAACTCTCTGGGCCCCCGTGGCGTATCATTCTGGTTGGTTCGCACACATTTCATCGACGAAAATGGAAAGCGCTTGAAGTGGAAATCTACCGTAAAGGCTCTAATACGGGCATACGTTTTTTTGCGTGCACTAGCGTGCATCGGCGTGCAGCTGGCGCGCAGTAGCGTGCATCAGCGTGCATTAGCGTGCATTAGCGTGCACTGCCTGTATTATTTGGGCGCGTTAGGGTTAACTGTCTTCCTGCGTAGGAATATTAGTATGGTAAATACAGTGTCGTAGTCAACTTCCTGCTTGTGTATATGGTACGTGAAGTTGGGCTACTGCCGGAGCTAGCCGGTTACCGGAAACTTTGCTGACCATCACCATATACTTAGTATTTTCTACGTACGGTGTGAGTTCAGCAGCAAGCTCTTTTGGCTGTAATATAGTCTATGTAATGTTTTGTATATCCATATGATATCCATTAAAACTTTCAGTTGCTGTGGAACAAGATACAGCAGGAATCGAGTTTCTGTGGCGGCGCACCGTGTGAATTTGACTCGATGCCTCCTGAATTAGGCGGACCGGAATTCACCGTTTCTGGCCGGAGCTCCACATCCTCGTCTAGTAGGTATGCTCTATTAGTCTCGTGCTTTGATATATTGAAAATTGAGAGTTGATAACATGCATTAAGCGCTCGCGCAGAGCCTTGTTCATCGACGTCATCAGTTTTTCATATTTCCTATATTCAGTCAAATGAACGGTGAATCATGCATCCATGATCCATCTTCAAGCCGAAGGCTTACCTTTTCTCCAGGATTTCATGATAAATGGTAGAAAAGGCTGTGTTCGAACTTATAAAATCGCAGGAATCCGAAGATGAATGCGTCATTTTCTTCCAAGTGGCGCACTCTTGACAAGGTGACTTGAAAATCCCTAAGAATAATCATCACAGCGCGAAGTTCTTTCTATATTCTATAACAGCACTAGATACAGTCATATATGCTTGAGAGAACTTGCGTGCATTAGCGTGCAGTTTGCGTGCGGTAGCGCGCACCTCGCGTGCAGTAGCGCGCGCCTCGCGTGCAGTAGCGTGCAGTGGCGTGCAGTGGCGTGCAGTAGCGTGCAGTCGCGTGCGCGTGACATGTACGTGACAAATACTTCATTGAAAACATCTATGTTTTTACAGTGTATACATGACCGCCTAATCGTAAATTCACTTTAAGTATACTGTTTATGTCACCGAGAGCTTCCACACTTAGTGCCACATACACCGGCTCCATGGAAGTGCACTGCGTCATGAATTAGCTTGCCTGCCCGATAAAACAGTCAAATTCACACGATGTACTTAGTTCAAACTCGGTATTATTCTACCCAACATTATAATTGATTGATTCATAAAATTACAGTAGATAGTGATATCTATAAGTATCCAGGTAATAAAGGCATAACCCACATAGCGTATCATGTAGATAAGTTCCAGTTGACGCTGCGGGCAACTTATTGTCTTCAATGCTACATTACAACTCCTAAAAAGACTCGGAGCTATTGACTACAAAAACAATTTACATAAGTAGGTCCCAGTGATGCTACATTACATATTAATATTAAAAATACAACCTTAAGATGGCTTGTGCATACATCGCGCACTTTTCAAGTACCTGGAAGAGGACGAGAAGCGGTTTGATGGCCTGTGACACATTGTGACACAGTTCAAGATTTGCGTGCATTAGCGTGCACTAGCGTGCATCAGCGTGCATGATGCACGCGAGTGCACGCAAAAATCTGGTTGCCCCTCTAATACTTGATTCAAACGAGACGAAGAAAGACAGGATTGCGACAAAGAACATGAAGAAGATAGAATTAATCCACAAGGTTCTCAATATTCCGATGGGAGCGCTTGGAGCCCCAGAATGGCTTAAACCTGCGGAGTAGATAAATTGTCGGTCGCCGTCAACAAAATAGTATCATCATCGCGTCGCTACATACAAATATTTTCGTGCCCATGGTCATTGGTACGCGGAAGCAAGAAGTTTCTCCGCGAAATTTGTATTATTCTTATGTGGCTATCACAGGATGTACGTTACGAGTTATACGCGGGGTCGAAACCATTACGCCAATAAAAGCATAGCAGATGTTGCCCACTTTGGCCATACTTCGAACGTAGTGAACCGTGACAATGATTTTGAGCCTTACAATTCGCCCATCTGAGTCTGTCTGGCATCGGAAGAACAATGGGTGATGTCGCTGGCAGCTGCGATGATCCCTTCCTTCTTTGTATGTACCGCTCAGAGTATGCGGATATGTATTCCGTATATCTGAATCGGATGGACTCGCGACAACTGATACCAGAACACAAGAGAAATGCACCGAGATAACTCTGATACTTGGCTAGAAGGAGACGAAGAAGGAGCGCGCCGGCACACGAAATATGAAGAAGATAGACCTGATATGACCCACTTCTGCGGAAAAGCCGATGAATAAAATGTGAAGTATGGCTCTCTGTACCCTCGCGCTCAGACTGGATCAAAGTGGAAAAAGACCAAGATTTTTTTTAAAAAACTCATACCCTTATGTGTTCATTAGGCTTGCATTAGGCGCTACTATCAAGCTACTATCATCAATACTACGTACCATTGGAGTCTGTAAAGGAGACTAGGTCTGCCCGGGAGAACGCACCAGGAATGCACTATTACAGGTTCAGTGGTCTAGTGGTTATGATTTCTGTCTCACATTTGATGTTGGTCCCACAGAAGGTCCCCGGTTCGACCCCGGGCTGAACCATTTTTGCACCTTACAGGTAGTAATTTGAAATTTCTAAGAATTTGCCAGTTAAACTTTGAAGTAAGGCTCCAACCATATTATATGTATAGTGTATATATATGGTTCTTTCTGTATGTATATGTGTATGTGTATGCCAAAAATCTCGAAATGCAGATATACACATATAGATATGATATATAGTGTTACATACAGTTGATGAAATATCTTACGAATCTTGCCATAATACTTCCAAAATACACACTCCCTGCCTGGTTTTTTCAATGGTACTTTTCCCTTCTGCAAGGGAAGGCAAATCCAACCGAAGGGTGTGCGGGAAGGGGGCAGGACCTGCTCGCGGCATACGAATCATGATTTGTCAGCTTTGATCCGATGGTCCGGTGGCCGGAATGGACCGAGCATGGGCCGGATGATGAAGTTCMTTGGCATTTTTATGCTCTTTCGTTGACTGTTTGACTCCTCTATATGCTATAGCCACCAGACAGAAGTTATACAATGGTGGTAATCTGCCTTAAAAATTATCTTGTTTCTAACTGTATTTTTTTACTGTATACTGTATATAAACAGTATAATATACACTATTAACTGTATGTGTATAATTTCACTTTTCGTCGCATACACATATAATATGGTTGGAGCCTTACTTTGAAGTTTGAACTTTGAAGTTTGGTTACTGGTAAATGGTTGAAGATCGTTGCACTTCTTCCAGTGCCCACAGTGCCTACTGCCCACCAGTGACCGGACAGCGGACACGTCGCCTGAGTTCAACTCCGTCAGAAGTCCTCATATACACAGGTTGCATCATCAAAATTCCAGCTCGAGCACATCCTCCGTATTTTACACCCCCGCGCCGCTGTCACCCTTTGCGCGAGGCAGAGAAATATTAGATGTATACTGGTACTAATCAAGTCCGGGTATGTGTGTATATGTAGTATCGTCGTGTCGTAGTAAGTGGCAGTAGGCCCGGCGGCTCAGGGGCGGGGTAGGGAGGGGCGCGTGGTACAGGCGATTATAAATATGGCGCATCAGGCTGTGGGCACCTGGGCCTGTCGCGGAGCCGGCTGTGGCGGTACGGCGCCGGCGAACGGGTGGGAGTCCGCAGTCGGGGCGCGGGTAGGGGGTGGGGGACGGGACACGCGGGTGATTATTAGAGGTTGGCGAGGGGCGAGCCGTGGGCGAGGGAGGGAGAGACGAAAGGGGAGGGGAGAGCGCCATCGAGAAAGCGGACACGGCAATTAAAAAGCAGCGCGCGGCGAGGCGTGTGGGCGTGCTGCTCAGCGTGGCGTTATCCGCACGTCCGTGAGCGCCGCGTCGGGCGTCGGCGAGTGGGAGTGGCTCCGTGCACTGCCCAGCGGCAGCGCGATGCTCGACGTGTTTGCGTGCTGCTGCTGCCGCCGCAGGCCGCCCTTGCGCAGCACCGGCGTGTGCTCGTCGCTCCCGTCGTCGTCCTCGCTCCACTCGTCGGCTTCCGCGACCTGGCGCAGCTCGCCGTTGCTCTGCTGCCGCCGGTGCCCATTCGCATGCGGCCGCGCGCTACCGGGCTCTTCGCCCTCGAAGGCATTGAACAGCGTCGTGCTCTGCGCCTTGTACAGCGAGCTCTGGCGCCCGTGGCGCCCGGCGACGCCGCCCATGTGGATGTCCATCCCCCGGTCGGGAGGCCCGTTCCAGCCGTCGAGCGACATGCGCCCTTGCAGGCTCAGCCGCGGGTTCATCAGCCCGGTCTCCAGCGCAGAGTGGCCGTTTGCGTGGTCGAGCGGAGGCTCGGCCGTGCGAGATAGATTGAGAAGGTGTACACCGAGGAAGGTGACAAGGAAGCCGGTTAAGAGGGAGAAGGTATTTGAGGCGTCCTGGGTATTGAAGCCCTGGAACAGGATGAGCGAGGCAACGATGGTGCATGTCGAGAAGCCGACGTAGTAGAGGGGGTTGACGACGTTAGTGGAGAATGTGTCGAGGGCTTTGTTGAAGTAGTTCATTTGAACAAGAATTGACAGCGCGACCACGATCATGAAAACATATGTGCTTGGATGCGTGAACTGGTTGTTGCCTGCAAAGGTGAGCTTGACGGCCACGCCGAAGCCTTTGATCGCCATGACGGAGACGGAGCCGACGAGGGAACAGATGGAGATGTAAACGATTGGGTTCGAACGTCCGTACCGTGGGACGACGATATAAATCATGACGAGCGTGAATACAAGCACGGAAAAGCAATAAAGGAGGAAGCCTGCGGATGATTAATCCAGGAAATGGGGTAGGGACTGGGGTAGACGTACCTGGCTGGATAGCAAAATGCAATATTTCGTCGACAGTGTTGATAGGTTTGTCCTCAGGCGCATGTAGCACGATGATGAGAGAGCCCAGCAAACACAGGGTGCACCCCACCCGACCGAGATGCCCCAGTTCTTCACCCAGAAGGAACGACGCAAGCACGGCACTGCGTACGAATCATTAGCTAAAAGTAGAGGCGGTAATTGTAGGCTCCTACCCAATCAGCACACTTAGTGCTCCGAGCGGCGTTACGAGAATCGGCGGTGCGAATGTGTACGCAGCAAAGTTGGCAACTGAGGGGGAGTTGTAAGATCTTTCCAGTGGTCTGTCAGGGGTGCTCACTTTCGCCAACGACCACTAGAAATAGGAGGATGAGAAAACGAGCAATTTTAAGTCTTGGCCACGTACTCGTTATCATCCCAGCCCACCATATAGGATTTTTGAGATACGCCAAATTGTCAGATGCCTGCGAGCCATAGCTTGAGTTTTGTGCTGCGTCGTTCAACCCCTAAGTTTTCCCCAAATCAATGTCAGCAAAATTCCTCAGTAGCAAAATAAAGACCGATTTGAGAGCACGCTACTACCTTTTTGGTGATAATAAAACTGGACCCAATGCCGATGGATCCGCATAGGGCGAGGATCAGCCCTATATATTTGTCTTCCATGTTGGCGCTGTCAAAGCGCGCTGCCGTCGAGTCTAGGGTGCAAAACCGATATAAGTAAAGGGGGCGTGTGGTGGTGGGCAAGGCGCAAGAAATGGGTACACCGCACAGCAAGGCACAGTAATGTCACGTGCCATTAACAATGCCATCGCCATTGGGATACAAGCATGTGCAAATAAGAAAGCCTTCCTATATAACCCGGCGCTCTCTCTTCTTCGTATCCTCTACGACGCTTTGCCCCCCTTCCAGTCGCCTACGTGAGCGAGGACGGGTCTTCCTTTTTACGACGTCGGAGAGTGTACCCCAGGCTTCGCTTTCGCTAGCAACACTAGCCTTGTTTCAGGGCCATGATGGATTTCTAGATAGTAGTGAAAGCCACATTCCTTCCAATCAAATTTTCTGTCGAAACGTTTTCCCGTACGAACAATAACCGCCGCAAACCCAGTTTCGAATTTAGTTACTGTCAGACCAATTGGGAGGTCGTTTTCGAAGTTGTAATTTTTCGGCCGAAAATACTGGCGCGGTTGCTCGCGAATGGTAAGCTTAGTCAAATAACACTCGACAGACACAAGACGACGTAGCACGGTGCGTTCTCACAAGGCATATAAGTACGTTGAAGGTTCCAGTCAGATACACGAAGTACATGAAGGTTGGGGTTGAATCAACATCGGCATATTCCAAGCTGCGCGATTGTTTGGGTGTGACATCCACAAAAACAGCCATCCCTGGCCGCGACGAGCAGCATTTAAATAGCTCGAAGGAGCTATTCGCAGACATGGAACAGATATGAACGAGCATCATACAGCTCCTTGCAGCACGTAAGCTCAGATTGCAGTCAGACGAAAGCGATGCGATTGCAATGTGATGTGTATTGCGGGAGAGTACAGGATCTAGGCCTTGGCAGCACCTGCTGAAGCCTTTGCGTCCTCAGCAGCGGCAACAGCGGGGTTGACCTTCTTTCCGTCCTTCCACCTGACGCGCGGGGGAGGAGCGCGGTTGCGGCGGCCCTCACGGGAGCGAACGCGGACAACTGAAAAATAGGCGACTATTGAGACACGCAGTATTTCTTCGAGACTGTAAAACTCACCATGGGAGTGGATGGCGCATGAGACACAGTAGGCAATTTTGATGTACAATTTGGGGATAACGTATTCTGCAATCCGACAGCATTTAACAGCACATTCCGCGGAGGTAGAAGGGGGGACACGCACCAGGGTAGACGCTAGCCTCGCTGATATCCCGGACAGCAGCACTCTCAACCATGTTCCTCACGGTGAACCTCTTGATGGCCTTGTCCTTGCCCACGCAGCGCGAGCAGTTCGAGCAGCGCATGTAGGTGACGTGGCCACGTCCCTTCTTGTTACGGCCGCCATTTCTTCTTTTCTTGGTCTAGCAGAGGGAGGCAGATCAGCGGCTGTTTGTTGGGTAGGCATCCACACGACATCCAGAGGCCGAAACGCGCATCCATCCTAAATTTGCGACCAGCGTCCACATTCTTCGCAGAGACGGTGCGTATACCGCCAGTACAGCATTCCTGAGCTGAAGAAACTCACCATTTTGAGCGTCGATGTCGAGAGGCGGTAGTGGGACGGCGACGAGGACGGTTGGCTGGATGCGGCTCGGCAGCCGCCGGTTGATTCTCACGGCACGAACCATGCCGAGAGCCACGGCCCGTACTATTTCTATACTCGACCCACCAAGAACAATGGGACGGCCTTGGAGACGAGCCACTATGCTTTTGTTCTCTGCCTTATAAGCCTGCTGCAATGCCAGACCTGCTCATCCTCCTTTGCTTTCTCCGGGCCCGGCGCTCTTTACGGTCTTTTATTTTATGATCATGTTCTCTACGCAGTCTACCCTTGCTTTCGTCGTTTGCCTCGCAACTTTTGCGCGTTCTGCACCGGCGGTGACGAACGCGACTCTTCTGCAGTCTGCACAGGAAGCGCAGGCGCTGAACGCACAATTCTTGACTCTCACGACGAGCTCGCCATGTGGCAGTGAGTTTCATACACCGTCATCTTATTCGCTGCTCATTGCCTTCAGATTTGACTGCCGCATGCGTCGCGAACGCAATCT